TAAATGTATTTCACAATCCAAGAAATTGTATTTACCTCGAATTCGAACTTGACATATAAGCTTTTCATATTATTCAAGTCTGATTCAAAAGTTATGGGAACTTGGTTTAATTTAACAATATTTCAAACTTAATTTTAATTTATTTCAGAACAAAGTTCAGAAAATGGCCAAATCCAAATGAGATCTTCTTAAGTTCCAAGTTGCATCTTCTCAGGAAGTTTTCAACATCTGCACAAACTTGAACATAAATAAGACTTTCCATCAATATCCATCTATAGATCATATTAATTTCTTCAACGCTTCGCTAACGCGCTTTTCTCTCCGTGCAGCTGATGCGCTTGCGATTTCGCTTCGATTAATTTTCGCATTAAGCCTGGCCACAGCTCCGCCCTGTTTTCTTTCATACATATATATATATGGTTTATATATGGTATATATAGATTTTGATTTAGTTGTGGGCGCGGTAATGAAATCAAATTAGGCAAGTGTGCGGCATGCCACAAGTGCCGCAAGTGCAACGAGTTGCAGCGAAAAGCTCGCGTTCAGTTCCAGTTCCAGTTCAAGTTCGGAGCAGCTGTTAATTGATTTGGCATGGATTTGGAATGCAGAGCGCACGCCGGGCTCAAGGATAATTGGGTACGGGCCAGATGGGCTGACTGTCGAGGGCGTATCGTCCTTGACTGTAGAGCAGAGGCAGAGGCACAACAACACACGCACACGCACACACACACTCGCACACACACACACCTGCGAGCTCAAGGCTAATCATAAAACTCAATTGTTTGCAATTATGTGAAGTTTTTCTTCATGTTTATTTTTTGTTTTCTTTCTGCGCAAAGGATTAGAGCATGGAATGAAAAACGATTTGCTGTATATGAAGGGCATGCTGGGGGGCGGGGGCGGGGGCATGGTATACGCACATGTTGCTAGTTTTTTGTGCAGCAATAAAATTGATATATCTAGTCTCTCTGCAATATGCTTGCCACACGGCGCACACACACACACTGCACACACACACACATGCGTAGGTATCCTTTTGCGGCTTAGTTGCCACATATTTTCCAAATTTTCCTTTGGTTGTTGCCGTTGTTTTTCCGACCCGCTTATTGGCCATTTAGCGCACGTAAGCGAACAAAATAGTGCAATTTTGTGATGGAATAAAAACTAATGGCACAAAATGACAACAACAACAAGGACAACAAGGACAACAAGGATAACAACAAATTGAGTCCAATCTGCGGCCTGCGACTTTGGCCATAATCCTGTCAAAGCGTAAACAAAAATTGCGGCTATTGTACAATTTCAGCTTTCTTCTTCTGCTCTCTTTTTTTCTGGGGATTGGCTTTTGGGATTGAATTGCGTGAGTGTCCAATTGGGATGGGTTGGCTGGGCTGGGCTGGCGAGCCGCAGCTTGTGGCACACATGCGATTGCAACAGATTGCGGCACGCGTTGCCAATGTAAACAAATTGTGATTTAAGCGCAAAAACAAAATACTAAAATATATATCAATGCGATTTGTTAGATACAGTACGACCTCGCTGAACGCAACCTATTAAAATTTGGCCAATTGCGAAAACTGAGGTGGTTGCAAGAGCCGAGGAAAAAAAAAAGAGATGCCTTTTAGTTAATTACTTTAATTAAAATTAAAGTAAATCGAATAGTTCTGTGCTCAAAGCAAGGATTTCATTTTACCTAATTAAATTTTGAAAAATTGAGAAATTTTGTGGTCTGTACTTTTTTACAATTTATACTTTTCTGAATAGCTAGCTGTTTCTACAATGTTGAGAAATCGGGTGTTGAAATTATCGAGGAGTTGCGTTGAGCGAGGTCGTACTGTATATGCGTATGCAAACAGATATAAGTTGGCATTAATGCAAATTGCTATGAATTTCTTAAGCGAGAAGTTCAGACTAAGCTGAGAGTTTCATTCGAGGGTTAAGCTTAAAAATGCACAAGTCATGTCCATATTTTCAATTGTAATTAAAAAAAACTGTCTCTTTTGATACATTAAAACAGAAGTTTTCTTATATAAATATCTTCGCTATCCAAATTAACTATATGTTATCTAAATATATTGTTTGTTTTTAAACAAAAGTGGACACATAAATAGGAAAAAATCTGATCTAGAACAAATATACTTTATGTTTAACACGTTTAATGACAAAATTGGGATATCTTCTAAAAGGGTATTGATATTGAGATATTTTAAGCAAAATTAATAAGCGCAACGAGAAAAGTTTGCGTTGATTGTAGATTGAGCCGGGCAAATAAAAAAAAATAAACACCTAAAGAAATTTTTGTTCTTATTAGCTTAAGAGCTTTGATTGCCTTTTTATTTGTTTTTCTTCACCAATACAAAAAAAGTTCTCGAAATACGTAAATTAATCTAAAAACGCGCCCATTTGAACGTGATTAAATGAAACAAGTCCAATTTTTCAAACAGCCAGCACACCGAAAATGCTTTTAAAAAAGGCGCAGGAGTTGCGTTTTGGTAAGGGTATCGGGAACGGGAACGGGAACGGGAACGGGAACGGGAAATGGGCATGGCCACAAAATATGGTGGTCTATGCAAATGAGTTGTCGGTCGTCAGGAAACAAATCATTGAAAAATTGTCACCGAACTTGCGGCTCGCAATGCAAACAAAAACAAACAAGCCAAGCCAATGGAAGGAGCTGCCCTACCCGATTGCCTTCCCCTACCCCTACCCCTGCCCTCACCGTTGCCCCTGCTGCCCGGCGACACCTACCCCCTGGCAGGGCCAGGTCCTGTCTCCGAGTCCTGCGGCCATTAGTCGCAACCACGAATCGCATGCAAATGAAACCGCAGCCGCTAAAGGAGACAAAACGAACAAGCGGGCGGGGGGTAGGGGTAGGGGTTTACAGTGAGAAAAAAAATATTGCTCCTAATTTAGAAATTGGACTTTGTTTCAAATAAGGCGTCAAATAGAGCAGGCGGGTTGCGGAGGGGGCAGGAGATCACACTCAGAAAAAGATATTTCCCCTGGCTTATCGTGAAAATTATAAATAAAATTTCTTTAGTTTAGAAACATTTAAGAAAGAAATTCGAAAAATTGTTTTTTAAGATTCAAAACTTTGTACATTTTTCCAAAAACTATTGATTTCAAAAAAGAAAAAAAGTATATTATAAGCTTATTTCATATATGCCCAATAAAAATATATTTATGCTTATCTAGGCGAAGTAGGGCTCATTTCTTTTGAGTGTACATTTGGGGTAGGGCGCCGCGCATCCTGTGCCCAGGACAAGCGTCGGGGCGCAGCTGACGAATTGTGAAAAAAATACATATGTATATATACGCATACATGCGTATATAAAGATGGCTGTGTCCTCGGGCAGCCTGGGATCGACTTCTGCTATCATTTTCTGCTGCGTTCACACGCCATCGTCGCATTTTTTTGTTGTCTTTTCACTCTACATTTTCGTTGTTGTTGTTGCTTCTTTTGAGTAAACATTTAAATTAAAAACATTTACATATGCAGGGTGTGTGTGTGTGTGTGCGGGGTGTGCGTGTGTGGGTAGCGCTGATATTCAATTATGATATTATTCAATTGAAGGGCGCGACAGTTTTTCAGATAAACAGCGTGAGTTGTGGGATTGTATTTTTTTTTTAGGTGCCTGAACCCAAAAATATCGCAAGAATATTTTATAAAAAATCGAGACGTTTATGGTAAAGTATAAAATTAATAGAAAATTAAAAAATATTAAAATAAATACACAATATTTAAATAAGTGGACATTTCATTCATGAATCGATCTGAAAAAAAGTCTCGATCTGAGACTTTTTGAGAGTCTGAGAAAGAAAAAAAGTATGTGAACAGAATTGGAACCTAATCTTAATTAAAAAAAAATTTAGTCTTGGGTGAATAAAAAAAACACTGCAAAGTATTAAGCTTAATTTCAGATTTTTTTTTAAATTCTTCCCGTCAATATTTCCACATCGTAAACAGCTCATTTATCCTGCACTTTCCACTCAACGTGCAGCTACACTCAAATCAACTCAACGCAGCACAAAACTCACTCAAAGCGTGGAACGTGGTGGGCATCAAGTGAAACAGCGCGCAACGCAATGGCAATGAAACAAGTCAAACAAAAAATCACTCATGCACTCAGGGCAGAAAAAAATATTTGTAAATAGCCGACGAAATGTACAAAACACACCCCCTCCCAGCACACCCAAACACACAAACATTCACACGCGCGCACACAAGAGCAACAACAACTAAACAGACCAACTGTCAACAGCCGAAAAAACAAAATGACGAATTTATGAACTTGTTTGCGCTCGCTAGAGCGAGACAACACGAGGCGCACGCTGCCACGCGCTCAATTGCTCTGGCCACTCCGAACGCGCTCAGCGCTAGCAGCCATCTCGCTTGCACGCATGTCTGAGCGTTGGGCCGACGCGCGCGCGCCTCAGCTGAGAGTGTATGGGAATTTTCGTGTTCGTATTGGAAAACTGAAAATGAGCATGAGTTATGTGTCGACGACGTCGCTGTTCGCTGTCGCTGCATTGGAATGCTGCACATGCCTGCATATTGCCGACTCGCTCGCACGCCCATTTCTCGGAGCAATTGTTGTTGCTGTTGCCGCCGCCGCCGCTGCTGTTGCTGCTGCTGCGCTGCCTGTCTGTCCGTCTCCTGCGGTTAACCGCTTTACGTTGCGTGTGAAGCTTACGTGAGCGCTTTCCCACAAAACTTTTTGGCGCTTTTGCGCGAGCTGCGTACAATTGCGGCGCCCAGTGCTGTCAGGTATTTTGCGCTAGCCGCGCAGAGCCGGACAACTAGACAGCAGCAGCAGCAGCAACAACAGAAAGTGCCTTAGACTCAACCGCTCACACATTAGTTCGTTAAGTTGTTTGCCGTAACGCGTCACGTAAGAGCGTTACGTGGTGTTGAAAACTTTTCGCCGTAAGAGATCGTCAGCTGTCCGTGTCTGGGGCAGGGGCAGGGGCAGGGCAGGGGCAGGGGCACGCAGGGCGCAGGGGCTCGCACTCGCACTTCGGCTTGTTGCGAATGCGTTTACATGGCAAAAAGCAAATCGCAGCCGCCGCCACAAATTCATTCAATGGTCAGCTGTGCGACTGTAAAGCGGTTTTCACGGCAAAACGCAAAAACACGAAAACGCCAAAAAACAACAAAAAAAAATATATATCGCGTAACGCGCGCCTCGATCGAACGAAAAATTGTAACGAAACTTTGCCGCAATTTTGCGCTCGTGTGAAATGTGCTAATTACAAGTTTTTCAAATTTTTTACACAAATACAAAAAAAATTTATTTAAAAATTAGAAACAAATAAAAATGCTTTTAAGCAATCAGCCGGCGAATGCCAAGCCGCCGTCGCCAACAGCGCCGCAAAGTTTCAAAGCCAAGTTGCAGCAACAAATCGCAACAGCAGCAGCTGCAGCTGCCGCAGCGGCAGCAGCAACAACTATTGCCAATGGCCACAGCAACAACAACAACAACAACCATCATCATCAGCAACAACAACAACAACAGCAACATCATCATCACCATCATCTGAACAATCATCATCATCATCAGCATAATATTTCCTTTGCCACGGATTTCTCAATTGCCGCGATTATGGCGCGCGGCGGAAACGCCTCGAGCAGCCGCGAGCCATCCGAAAGGAGTCTGAGTGAGTAGCAAAAGTAATTGAGACTAGCCAACTAGAGACTCCACAGACTCTAGCTGCATCTATATATAACCAAAGATATACATATATATATATAAATATATCTGCTTATTACAAGTTGTAAAACAGACAGAACTTAATGCGCAAAAAAAAAAGATCTGCTCTGTGTTCTCTTGACATTGCCAAGAGATCGAAAGATAGCTCGAGCAGCGAATATTACAGACTCAATCTGGATGAACAATAGGAAAAACGCTGGTTCAAATTCCAGCTAGCGGGTATGTAAGGCGTAGGACAGGCTATTTTTGAGTCAGACTATAAATATATGTTAAATATTCTCAAATAAATATAAAGATATTAAAAGAAATCTTGACCAGCGAATATAAGCGACTAAATTTGTATGAACAATAGGAAAAACGCTGGTTCAAATTCCAGTCAGAAGGCAATGCAAGGCGTAGGATAGATTATTTTTGAAACAGACTCTTAACTTTAATTTAAAAAAGAGTTTATAATATAATCAGATAAATAAAAGGATATTGAATTTAAGAAACTTATTATTGTGGATAAAGAAAATGCTGGTTCAAATTCCAGTCAGAAGGTAGGCATCTAGCCGAATATTTTTAGAAATAGACTTTTTATTTTCCTGTATAACATCAAGTTTAAAATATCAGATAGCTACAAAGATATTAAAAGATATCTTGAGAATAGATATCTATTAGAGAGATTCAATAATTCTGAACATAGAAAATGCTAGTTCAAATCCCAGCTAAAAATAGGCAACGCGTAGACTAGATCTATTCAAATGTTAGTTAATTTATTTAGCTTAAAAAGTATTATAGTTTTTAATATTATCAGATAAATACAAAGATATTAAATTATATCTTACGCAGTAGTTGAGGATTAGGAAATATTTCTAAACAAAATCCTAGTTTCAGGGCATAAACATGCAACTCGTAGAAGACAGCTATTCATAAATTATTTCATTTTAGTTTCAAAATTAAAGCACACAATTGTTCAAGATAAATACAAAGCACCTGAGAATTCTGAAGAAACTGAATCCCAGCATTAACTTATTCTCAAGATCCTAAAAAAGTTCTTTAATATTATAATACATCCCTGAAGACTCTCCTATTGTCATATAAATATAAAATCGGAAAAAATTATCGTTCTAAATTCTAGTATATTTCGAATCAGAATTTAAAGGATAAATCAAACTTGATACCAAAATTGAAGGCACCAACAAATTAAATAAATAAACATAAAAAATACATAAAACAGGCAGGACTTAGGTACCAAAAACTTAAAATCAAATTAATTCATTCTAAAAAATTAAAATTTTCAAATTTCTTAATTTAAGTAAAACTTCGATATTCAAGGATAAGTTTTTGAAGCAGCAATAGTTCGCTTAGCAGATTTCTTGCTTAGATTTGACTGCTGACTTTTTGGGCTTTAATGAGATAGATGAGAGTGGATATAAGCAAATGCAAAATGCTAACCGACTATACATATTGATATCCAATTAATAAACTAGGCTTTAAAGCAGATTTTAGAAATATACAAATATATATATCTACTAGTTTTAGAAGTTCGAAAGCCAATAATACCAAAGTGAAGCCACGTTAAACTAAGCTTCTGGGTAGACTTTAGTTGATCTAAACACGAATAAATTCTGTATCGAGAATTTCAATATAATTTTATAGATCTGTTAAATTCTCAAAAATATGGTGAACAGCTCAATAAATATAAACTTCCATTTAATCATGAATATAAATATATATTTGATTAATTTTTATGATTTTAGTTTTTTGCTATTCTTCAGATTAATATATATAATAAGAATAGATTAATATATATAACAAATGCAAATCAAAAGAATCCAGAATAACTCATTTTTTAGCTGCTTTAAAAATGATTTCTTTTTATTGCCATTTCAACGATTTGGAAGGTGTGAAAAGAGCTTAAGAAAATTGAATCTGTGAAGAGTTTTAGACACTTTGTAGCCGTTTTTTACGAGACATCTGTTTAAATCAGCAGCTGCATGAAATTAATATTAAAATGAATTTCAATAGTTGCCAAATAACAGAAAAATTAATCGTGAATAAAACTTGGCATGCGTTAAATGCCGTTATGTATAATCAAATTAATTCAGTTAATAAAAAAGTAACAAAAGCCCTTTTTTAAATAAATACAACTTTTTTTTTTATATTAATCTTTGTTGTAAAATGGTTACATTTTGTAGAAGCTAACAATGTAAAGTGAAAAATGTTGTAAAATAGTCAAATCTTGTAGAAGAAATGCAAAGTAGAAAGAAATACAAAAAAAAAGGTTGTAAAATTCGCTCCAGTTTTAGGCAGACGCCTTTGTCATTTATTATTATTGCCTTTTTGTTTGTTGAATAACGAATTCAGTAAGCAAAACATTTAAAAATATGAATTTGAGCCGGCGACCTGTCGCTTCACCTTCGCTAAGCACATTTTTATGGGGTTTTTTTATACAAGCTTTCAGCTGCAATTGAACAAAATCTCGCCTCACTCACATTGAACCCAAAAAACAGCTTCGATACAAATTGTTGCTTTCTAGACTTATGGGTTTGGGATATTCGTTAAAAGCCAATTAGTCAGTAAGTTAGTCAGGATAATCTCTTTCATATATACATAGTTATTGAAAATCAAATACATTTATTTTATCTGTTCCTTATTGTAATTTTAAAATTTTAAAAAGATTTTTGTTGTTTAAATGTCACGATATTTTTTATGTAGCAGAGCATATAAAAATATATAATATATTTTATATATAATACATAGAAATAGAAAATTATATTTCATAATTAAATAAGAGTATATTAATTATAGAAATATAATTATAACTCATAAACAGTCTTAATCCAAGAAAGACAAAAAAATTCTAAAAGAATTATTGAACTAAGGAATAATTGTCAATAAATAAAGCAACAAATATATGGAATATAAGTATGAAAATGCATAAATTTAATTTAAAAACATATATAAAAATTTAAGGGAAATTAAATATTTTACCATTATAGTAATTATATTAAACTTTATCCATTTGGCAAAGCGTACCATATCTGTCATATAACAGCCAAAATTGCTAGCCAAATAAAATATTAAAGATATAATAATAACAATACTTATAATATTAGCTAATGATAATATTTATATATTAGTTAGTGCTAATATTGGCTGCCAATAAATTAGTTAATGATTATGTTTAAAGCAATGCAAGATTGAGGGTTTCATTAGTTTAGCTACTGTAACCGTGCTTGCTGCAAAATGTTGCACAGTTGCATATTCAATTATTGCCTGTGTGTATGTGTGTGTGTGTGTTTTTTTTTCATCCCATAAATTGCATATTGATGACAATGCAACGTTGATGACTTGATAATTGCGGCAAATGCGCGGGCAATAAAATAATCAAAGCCTATTTGAATGCAAGCTGCCAATTGCGGGGTGGGGTGGGTCGGGGGGCTGGCGAGTTGACAGAGATGGGGCGTGGCTGTGTGTGCTGCATGTCATGACGAGCACGCACACTCAAACACACACGCACACACACACACACACACACACACACATGTAAATGTGTATATAGATATTTATCGATTTATATGCATGCGCAAAACTATTTAGATGCCATAATTGGGACCCCCCCCCCCCCTCCACCCCTCTAGCCGCGTACCGCCCCCTCTGCCAACATTTGTTGAAACAATGGCAAAATCCGTGCAACAACAACAATAAGAGCGGGCGGCACAAATTAACATATGAAATTGCATTTGGGAGCGCTGAAAATAATTGAATTTTTGTTCGGCTATCTGCAAAATGCATCTGTGCGTCAGCATTTGTGTGGCATGCAACATGTTGTTGCCGCCTGCCACAACTTGACAACTCTCTTTAACTCTCTCTCTATCTTTCTCTCTTTCTCTCTTGCTCTCTTGCTCTCTGTCAGGTCCATTGTCTGTGGAGCGCTACTCGACGCAGGATGCGGACGATGATGTTGACGTTGACGTGGTTGACTGCAGCGACAGCGAAGCGCCAACGGCGGCAGCAGCAGCAGCAGCAGCTGCCGCAGCGGCGGCGACGGCAGCGGCGACAGCAGCAGCAGCAGCAGCCGCGCAGCAGCATGCGCGTCATGCATTGCGTGTTGCACAACAGCAGCAGCAGCAGCAGCAGCAGCAGCGGCAGCAGTCGCATGCAACAGCCAACAAGCAGCGGCAACAACAACAACAACAACACAATCAGCCACACAACAACAACAACAACAACAACAACAGCAACAATCACAGCAAATCGAGCAGCCATCGAGGGCGTGCCACGGCCACACCAAGTGCTGCCGCTGCCTCGGCTGTGGCAGGCAGCACGCCCTCGCCCCCGCCTCCGTCTCGCGCCGCGCCGAGCCCCAGCGAAGATGAGCGCCTGTCGCCCGAGGAGCCCGCGCAGGTACGAACCAAACGCCACAAAGTTAGCACAAAACCAATTCGCGACGCACCTATGAAAAATGCATTTGCAACTAAACCCCCTCCACCTCCACCTCCCCCTACACTTCCGCTCTCCTCTCTCCACACAGCTGCCGACGCCGAAAATTCTTGGCACATGCAATTGCGATGATCTCATGCCCGTGCAATGCCATCTGGAGACTAAGGAGCTGTGGGATAAATTTCACGAGCTCGGCACCGAAATGATCATCACCAAAACGGGCAGGTGAGCATATCTAAGGGATAAAATCCCCAATGAGACTGACACATAAGACACATAACCAGGCAGGTGTCTGGAAGGGAAGACTTAAATGATGAGCTGGCTTTTTTAAAAAGTTTTTAACTCGGGCTGACATTATCATAGAGAGTCCGTCCGTCTTGCGGAAATATCTGATAGATATCAACTATTTTTCTTCATTGGGCTTATCTCAGGTATATCTACAGGGAGAGAGGGAGAATATTTTCACCCTAGACAAGTTATTATTTGGCCAAATTTTTACTTCTCCATAAAACAGAAAAGATGTCTTTTGCTTTTTTTTACTTTTTGATGATTCTAAGACATTTGCCTTTTCAATTCTTACACTGCATTTCTGATGTAAGCTTAGCATGTAAATTATCATTTTCTCTTGGTCTCATTTGCGTCGTCGTTTCTCTGACTGCGCGGCTGAAGCAACAGTATCAAATGTTTCTCTCATTGTCTCTATATCTTTCTTCCTCTGTCTTTTACCCTATCTCTACCTCTATATCAATCTATAACTTTAAAGTTAACTCCTACTCTATCTCTAACTTTATCTTTGTCTCTATCGCTATCTCAAGGTCTATCTCCATCTCTTTTTCCCTCTCTGTCTCACTCTCATTCTCTCTATTCTGCCTCTGCCTCTGTATTTTACCCTATCCATCTATTTCTTGCTCTGTCTGTTAGCCCATCTTTTCCCTTCTCTGTCATTCTCTTTATATGTATATCTTACTGCTATTCTCTCAGCTAAGCTTTTCAATCCTTTTGACGCCCATTCGTAAACGTTTCACAGACTCCTCCTCAATCTAGCATATATTACTTTGTGTCTCTTTCTCTCAATGATTATTTTCTGCAATTTTCATTTTCTCTTTGTGTCATATTCGTAAACTTTTCACTGACTGCAGCACCATTTAGCCTACAATTCGTACTCCACTCAGCTACTTGTCTTTGTTTCCTTCTCTGTCGTTTGCTCATCTCTCATTTCGTTTAAGTTTCCAATTAGCTGCCTTTAGGCACATGTCGCCAGTGGCATAAAAACAATTCCAGCCCATCAATCGCCGCTAATCAGACACTCGAAAGCGCCGTCGCAAAAAAAATAAACAAAAAGAAATAACAAAAACTCATCCTGAACTCAAACGCAAAACTTGAACAATCAATAAACTCGCAAACGCCTTTCACTCACTGGCCAGGGGGCGTGGCGGGGCGATGTATAAAACACAAGTGTTCACATTTACAATCACATTCACATTCACATTCTCATTTACATTCACGACATTCGAGCGGCCCGTTTGAGAGTTAACTGCAAAATATCAGCAGCTTTTTGGTTAGTTTCTCATTACAAATGCCGCCACCTCCTCCTACCACACCTACCTGGCCCCCCCGCTCCCCTTTTACACTTCTGACTGTTCCTGCCCCTAAAATTGATTGACAAGGCATCGAAATAATGTGCCGTCGATTTTCGATTTTCGATTAGCAAGAGGCCAAGCCCAAAAAAAAGAGAAGGAAAAAGACGGAAAAGAAATAAAGAAATAAGGAGAAGCCAAAAGCAGAGGCAGCCAAACTGGCGGCCGTTTCTTGTCAGCCGTTTTGCAGCTAAAACTCACACACAGGCACACACACACACTCACACACACACAGGCACACTCACACAGTCGGCGTTTGCTTAAACGACTTTTCATTCGCAACTCAACAAAGTCGACTTCAAAAATTATTGCTTGACGATTTTCGTGCGAATGTCGTATAAAATGCGAAATGCGAATGAATAGCAGTAGCAGCAGGGTAAATGCTCGACTACAGCATACCCTGTAATTTGACTTTATACCTACTAAATGAAAGCTTGTCTTTAAAGTTGTCTTAACATCTTCAAATATAATTCAGTATTTCCTGATTAGTTTAATTTGCGAATGAATAACAACAGCACGCAGTTGATCGACTTCGGCATACCCTATATTTTTATTTTATACCTCAAAAGTAAATGAATAAATATAATTGCATATTTCCAGATAAGTTAAAATGCGAATGAATTAGAACATCAAGCAGTTGATCGACTATAGCATACCCTGTATTAATGCTTAAAATCAACTCCATGAAATTTTATTCTATTTTTCTTGATCAATTTCAAAGCTGATTAAACATGGCTTCATTAAAAAGGCAGACAAATATTTAAATATTTAAATATTTTCAATATATATTAAAAAATCAAACGGCGATTGAATAAATGAAAATTATGTTGAGAAATATAAAGACTTACCTGCTTAATTTCAAACTCAGTTATCAAAATATGCCGGATGAAGCTGTAAATAGAAAACGATTATTGTATAGGTTAGTTATTTACATAATACATAAGGATATTCGTAAGGCTTTAATATTTCTGAGCTGTTTATACAAAGGAAAATCCATATACAACATTTTCAGTCTCTTTATTTAATAATCAACAAGATATGGTATGCAAATTTGTATTATGCAAATGTTCAGCCATTTTCAATGTGTACAGGGTATACTTAGGAGAAATGAGAATTGTGAAACATTTATACAAGCGGAATAAGTTCTTTTATAAAATCAATCTATAATTATAACATACCGCAATGGGATATAGAAAACTAAAACGACACGTGAATATACCACTCTGCTGGCTGCTGATTTACAGGGTAAGCATGCATGTAACATAAATTTGAGCCGCGTTGCGTTTGTTGCTTTTCGAGTCTCAGTTCTTATGCTGATGACATGCGAAATGCGCATTAGTCGCTAGCTGGTAGTTAGGAGCTGAATATGCTTTCTTCTTCTGCTTCTTCTTCTCGTTTGTTTTTTTTTCGGTATTTTTTTCCGGCTTTCAGTTTTTGTGTGAGTGAGTGTGTGTGTGTGTGTGTGTGTGTTGTGCTTGGCAACTTTTGTTTGTTTGGGTTTGTTGTGCTGTTAACCCCTTTTCACCGTGTTCGTACCTGGCAGAGGACACCCGCCCCCTGTCCCTCTATCCCCCCTGCCCACTTGCTGTGCGCATTTGCGACACATTAACAAATTTACTCCTTTCGCTGGTTGGCCATTCGTCCTGGCTGGCAGTCAGAGGTCCTGACAGCGCCACAAAGTATAAATTGCAATGTAATAGCTGCCGATTGTCGCGCTAACAACACATTTGCATGTCCTTTGGCTTTACGAATTGTGTTTTGTTTTGTTTTTTTTTTTTTTTTTGTATTCGACTGCGACTGCTGTCGCCGTGCATAGCTGCTATGCCCTGTAATTAGCACAAAGGACCCCAATGCCGCTTTGTTTATTTACATTTGTGCGGGCTGGCCAAAGCGCCAAGGCATTACCCCTTGCCCGATATGCATCTATGTCAGCACATCGTTTGGCTGCCAGCAGCAGCAGCAGCAGCCGCTGCGAAATGCCCTTCACAACAATTGCAGGCTCTGTTCTGTTTTGAGTGATATCTTTTAAATTGCTTAAATATATGCCATATCGAGTTGGATATATCGTGACACGATACCAACAGCAACAGCAGCGGCGGCAGCTGTTTTATGAATGCTTTCAAGCTGTGTTAACTACGGTAGCTAATGATATATTTTAGAGGAAAATATTAAATGTGCCTGGTAAATTTTGTCAGCAGCTTGTATATTTAACATGAAGATAGCGAAGTGTTTGCTGATGCCATAAATCTTTGAATACGCATATTTTTGGCAAAAAATCTAATTTGGTTATCATCGCGTTATCATCGCAAGGTGCTGACAACATTTACAAGCCATATTCAATGTATTTGAATAATACGCATATTTATCTGCACAAGATAAAACTTCTTTTCGTTATCTTCAAGTTATCTTTTTAAATTACTGACAACATTTACAAGACATATTTAACGCATTTGTATAATACGCAGGTTTTATTTTGCATACAGGATTTAATTTCGTTGTCTTCTTGTTATCTTTTTAACCTGCTGTCAAAATTTACAAGCCATATTCAATGCATTTGAAATATATGTCATTGAATAATATGAAGACCTTTTGCACAAGATAAAACTGCTTTTTGTGATCTTCAAGTTATCTTTTCAACTGCATTATAAGTATGTACTATTTGTATATGTACAGACATTCGCGGCTTACAAAATGCTTCTCTTCAACTCAAACAACTCGCCATCGTATCTGAAGAAAGAAGCGAATGGGAATGCGTGGAAAACAGTGTTGCCAAAACATGCAAATGCGCAGGCGTAGAGCACATCGAAAGTGAGCAGCAATTTGAAGCACTACGCAACCAAAATCGAAAAGAGTCTGGCAAAATGATTTATGATTTATGACCAAGACCAAAAAAAAAAAAAAGGATCGAGCTGGCCTTTATAGAGAGTTTTACCTGTTGCCAGGGGTCGGCTGAATTGTTCGAGCTCTTGTTGCGGTCATTGAGTTAAAATGTCACGTGGTTTTTGTGGATTTTGTCACGCTGTCAGCGGTTAACAAAAACCAGCGGCAATTGGCGGTTGCAATAAGATAGAGAAAAACTCGCAGGCGGCCTAATTGTCCCGGCCAAGCAGCAGGCGGCAAACCCAAAGGCCCAGAGTTAGATGAGTTGAGAGAAGTACGAGAGGTGCGAGAGGTACGGCCGGCAGCGGGTAGTCAACAAATGTTTGTCAATATTTTAGCGACAAGTCTTCACGCTTGTTAGGTAATTGTTTTTATTCTCCGCAGTTTTGTTCCGCACAGTTCAAGCCGTGCGGACAGTAGCCCCTCGGCCAAGGCGCGTAGCAATTGCAATTTTCATGCTTTCCTGAAGCGAAGACACCAAGAAAAAAAAAATGTGGCTTCAAACTCACCTCAAGCTAACCTGGGCGCTCGACAATTTATTAATTTTAAACAATTCTCGCACAACTTCATTAATATTTTATTGTCTGTGGCCGCCTGGCAGCTGAACTATGTGAGGGAACATTTATCATTCGGTCGAGGACAATAATGAAACAAGTTAATCCCCTGCAGAAAGGTGCAGGATCTGTGCCCATTTAGAGTAGTCCACACATTCGGATCGCGGGCAGTTTATAGCTTCATAAATTACACTGAGAGAAATGTATTATAATTATAATTGTTTAAAAATTATAATAATTATATTGTATAGTATAACAGGTGATATACTGTTATACGTTTATGCTGCTATAATGTTATACTCTTATACTGTTATACAGTTATACTGTTACGCTGTTATACTGTTAAGCTGTTATACTGTTTTTTCTCTCTATTAAATTAAATGGAAATGAGAAATGAATTTAGTTAGGGAAATATTTTTTTTATATATATTTATACAGTATATTAAGGCACTCCTTTTAAAAAATTCATTTTTGAAGAATTTTAATGGTCATTTTTCTGATTTTCTTCATATATAAAATATAAAATTGAAAAGTTTTCAAAGTTTTTAGGCTCAAATTGCTAAGGAACATTCGATAATGAAAATATAAATTGATTTTTTTCGTATATATTCATATTCATATTGATATACATATTCAGATTGACATTTTTTTTAAGTGTTGTAAGAGTTTTTCAAACTCAAATAGACTTAAAGCAAGTTTAATATAGAAACTATTTAAAATACATTTTTTTTTAAATTTTTTTATTTATCAAAATATGCTCACATATAAATTCATTTGTCCAAGTGTAAAATTGTCAAGTCTTTTGTCTAGGCTCTTTTTGCTAGGTCTATGTAACTACCAAATTATGAATTAATTAAATAATAAAAGCGAGTGAATGAGATGGGGAGGGAAATAATAAAAGGCAGGCAGATAGACAGAGAGAGAGAGAGAGACAGACAGAGGTAGATAGAGAGAGAGAGAGAGAGAGAGCGCAGTAAATAGGCTGCGCTTCATATATTTTTACAAGCAGCGATAAAGATCGCTCAGTTTTGGTCAGGTTAGCTGCAACTGGGGGTTGCTTTAAGCGCTTGAGAAGGACGGCCAACTGAATTAGCATTTAGGTGCATTTATTAACTCAAAGCTGGCGGCTTAATTTGCTGGAACTAAGGTGTTGATAATGAATTCGTATAGTTCCCGGGGCGGAAGTGCGGATAAGTTGCGGCTCATATGGCCCCAAGCGGTTAGAGAAGAGCCCTCTAATTGGGCGTGAGAGCGAGAGAGAGAGAGAGGGCCCAACTTGGTCAAGCCAGCTAATTGAAAGTCTAGACTCCACTATGTAGAGTATCGCAGCGAACCCTCTATGGCAAATGGTGTGTAAACTTCATAATTGTAACCTTTGGCACCTAAAGCCAACCAGTCTGGGAAATGAGTGAAAGCCATTTCCCTAATTTTCCCATAAACAAATACATAAAATCCACACTTGGACGCATAGAGCAAAATAATAATAATGCAGGGCAAGAGCAAAAAAAAAAAAAAGAAAATAATAAAAAAAAACAAAAACAACAAGCAAAATACGTGTGTATATAAAACTGTGCCACGCCCACCGCAGCGCAGCCCAGCACAACGTCCGACCAGTACACGTGGGCGTTTTAGGCGGGGCCCGCAGGCGGCAGCCGTTGCCGCTGAGTTGGCTCATAAAAATGTATGTAAATGTTGGGAATATGATTTACGACATTTCCGCTAGTAAAAGAAGGGCGAGTGCCCGTTGGGTGAGGGGCGAAATAGAAAGGAGGGTGCTGCTGCTGGGCGTGGCAGCGCTGCGTTTTGGCATTTTCACACATTTATGGACACATTAGCAAGCTATCAAAAGTGTTTGCAATTCTTCTCAACACTGGCTGTTGATTTCTGCTCGCAATTAGATTTGTGGCCAGAGTTGCCAGCACGTCAGGCTCGAGTGCCGTTGCAGTAGCAAAGATGGCAACGCCGCGATAAGCTGCCCCCAACAATGGTGCTAATTGTGGCATGCAACTGGCAACTGCCACAGCAATGACAGTTATTACTTGGGCAAATATACACGTGTGCGTTGGCAACCCTGGCCACAACATGCGCCCAGCATGGCGGCCAAGTGCACCAGACACGCCCACACGCCGCCCCCGTTACGCGGACGCAACCAAATGTATCCATCTGCAGACATACATACATATCTGTATCTATTTGTATGTAGTCGGCGGGATTTATGGTTGACATTATAGCAGAAAATTATTAACAATTACACGACATACAGCACGATTTTTATTGGCATAGACAGCTGACGAACGGCTCGGGCTGTGATTTATTGCTTTCATTTGAAATGTGTATTATCTGTCTATTTAAGTATAGCTTAATACCAAGCCCTGCTCACAGTTAGCATAGCCAAGCCCACAGTTATGCCAGAGCTGGCGCTTCGAACCAGAAACTGGTTTGTTAAGTTTGCCCTATCTTACTTCAAGTAGCTTGGCTTTCAATGACGTGAGCATGGTTTTATCTTGATTTTGATGAGTTTCACAACTAAATAGCCAAGGACTTATACAAGAGTATAGCCAAACACTAGCTGGGAATTATAACCCGGATTTTCGTTGTGCAGTTGCCTAAGGACAACACCCGAGATCTATTATTTTGATACTCTTGTAGAAACTTTTTTGTTTAATAAGAATCTTATCGAAACTTGACATATATGAGGAATATATTATTGACTTCCTAGATATAGAGCTATATAGCGGGAATCAATCGAATAATGAGTTTATTTATATCTTTTAAGATGTCTTACGAGCTTTACAATTCTTCTGACATATCTGCCAAGCCGTAATCCATGTGTTTACAAGAGTATAGACAGTTTTGTCCCGCATACAGATCATTTTATTTCTCTGTTGTTATATTAAAATGTCCCTGAAATACATTTTTAACTTGAAGAAACCTAATGTTCAGGAACTGGACTGCTTAAAATGTTTGCAAAATTGTCTTAAATATGATTTTGCGAGAATCGATTGCGCTCATATGTTTTAAGAGAATAAATAGAGGAAAAATTGAAAATTTTTAAATAAAAAATCCGGTTTTTCTTTTTTATTAATCTTAGCTGATTTTTCTGTGTGCGATTCTTGCTCAAGGCCCAATATTTTCTCCTACTTTATAAGGTTTTATGATTGCATTCCAAGTTAAATCGTTCTCCTTGTAGCTCACCCAGCTCTCGTATTCATAGTTAACCAAAAACTATATTTGTATTTCTATTGTTAATTATTAGTGGATTATTATGACAAATGTTGCAACATTCATTTACAACTCAACTAAAAGCCAAAAACTGCACACGCACACACTCGCACTCACACACACATTCAGGTAGGCATAAAAAAACAATGGAGAAACTAGAAGACAAATGACAAAAGAACTGGGCTGGGTCATTAGCGTCATTTACACTTAGCTGGCCGCAACTGCGAGTCGACTCGACTCGAGTCGAGTTGAGTTGAGTTGTTGTGGTTTGTCAGGGGGTTGGGGATCCGGGGGGTGGCTACTTCGTCGCGGAAATGTGTCAAAAACGTGCTAAAAGTCATAAAATTAAATATGCGTCTTATTTACATACAACCACCGCCGGGCACAATGGCGGGCAATAAAAAAGGAGCTGTAGCAGAAACAGGACACATAAAACCGTAGAGCACTTTTCGACATTTTCGTGGGGCATGCAACATTCTTGTTCTTCTATGTCATTTGTAGATTTAATTTCCAGCATTTGGCTTTTTGGTCTACTTTTAGGCGCATGTTCCCCACGGTGCGTGTGAGTTTCTCGGGCCCGCTGCGTCAAATCCAACCGCCGGATCGCTATGCCGTCCTCCTGGACATTGTGCCGCTGGACTCGAGAAGGTATCGGTATGCGTATCATCGCAGCTCCTGGCTGGTCGCCGGCAAGGCGGATCCGCCGCCTCCGGCACGCATCTATGCGCATCCCGACAGCCCCCTGAGCCCGGAGGCGTTGCGCAAACAAGTCGTCTCCTTCGAGAAGGTGAAGCTGACAAATAACGAAATGGATAAGAGCGGACAGGTAAGCACAATTGCGAGTGTGTGTGTGTGGGTCAAAGGTTTACTGCAAAGAATGTCGACGGCAGCAGAGAGAGAGAGAGAGAGAGAGAGAGAGAGAGAGCACATTGACACAATGCAAAGCGACGGCTCTACAAATCGATGGTTCACAATAAAAGTTGTGAACATGTTTGAATTGAGGGTAGAATTCTAGAGAGCTGACAAAAGTTCGAGCTCAAAGAATAACCAATCCTTAAACAATATGTCACATTAAATATTAGTGGGAAATATAGATGAAAAGTCTTATATGTTTTCTGAGGTAATTGAAAGAGTTAAGGTACGCTTATTCGTCTCTATAAGAGATAAGCTTTTCTTTGTTGGATCTTAAAGTAAATAATATTTATGCTCCCATTTAATTCACTAGTTATAACAATTAGTAGAGGCAAAGTGAAGAAAAGTATTCATATAATTACTACGAAAATGTGTAAGAGAAAATGCGTATAACAAAAATCTAAAGAATCTGATGAAAGCTAAGAGAAACTTTTTACTTTTTTAATCTCCCCAACCATGGCCATTAAGTTATATAGTTTTCTAGATAATAGAGGCAGCGCAAAAAAATGCCTGAGTAAATAAAGAAAAGGACCGATAAAATTTTAATTCAAAAAACTTGTATTTCGTTTGCCCAAACTAGAAAAAAAACACAGTTTTGAATTGGTCTACAACTTATATATACTCCTTTGAAAAAGGATCGAATACGATTCTCCCTATTTTTTAGAAGCAAATATGTTTAATTTGCATACAATCATTTTACCCTTTCTACCCAATTTCCATTGTGCAGGGTATGAAAATAGGTCGGCTATAATTTTCCTATATCAAAGAAGTACATTTTGTCGCAGACATTTTATTCGAATTGTTAATTTTGCTAAACACAAAAAATATCTAAATAATATCTATCAGACAATACACTTACTATTCGCACTACAGTGCCGCAAATAGTATGCCTACATTTTTAAGACAAAGCAAAGAAGCCGCGAAAATTCGTAGCTATTATCAAGCAGCAATTCCTTAAGCATCCTGGCCAAAGCAAAAATATATGAATAATTTAGACAAGACAAAAGACATAAAAACCGCGGCGACTAGGCTGCCATTGTGTGCAGCAGTGCAGGGTTGAGAGAGGGAGTAAGACAGGAGAGAGAGGGAGAGTGAGAAAGGGAGAGACAGAGAGAGAGCGAGAGAGAACCTGTAATACAGCCGGCATATGGAAATTGCAAAAAATGAATGAAAATTGTTGGCAATTTGGTGGCAAATGCAAAAGCCGCGTCCAAGGCAAACTTCCTCCCCTATGCCTGCCCCTCTATAACCTCTATATACCTGCTCCTGCTCCTGCCCCTATATCATATATGCCCCTGCCGTATAACACGGCAAGTGACGACGCTCTGTTTACGAGGCAGATACTTCTCTTTTTTTTATCGCTGCCATAAAGGATGCTGGCCCGGAAAAGCGTCAAAACAAACGCCGACTACTTTTTATTGTTGTAAATTTTTTATAAGAACCTCACGAGAAAAAAAGAAAAAAAAACGGAGTAAAAAGTCAACAAAAAATTGTTATTTTTTTGCAGGTCGTGCTGAATTCGATGCATCGATATCAGCCACGCATTCATCTGGTGCGTCTAAGCCATGGCCAAAGCATACCCGGCAATCCCAAGGAGCTGCAGGATATGGATCATAAAACCTTCGTGTTCCCGGAGACTGTATTCACGGCCGTGACGGCCTATCAGAATCAATTGATTACAAAATTGAAAATCGATTCGAATCCGTTCGCCAAAGGATTTCGCGATTCGTCGCGTCTGACTGATTTTGATAGGTAAGTAAAAAAAAAACAAGAAGAGCACTATTTATAAGACTTCGGCGGGGGCGGCGGGTTTTGAGTGCTCGTTACGCAACTGAAAATAGTTGTTGACCCCCAGCAATTTTATGAGGCTCGTTTGCTGATTTATGGCCTCATTTACGATGAACCTCTGTCGCTTCGGTTAGCCGGAAAAATCGTACAGTAGCCCGAGCAACAGCCGCTGATTAGCGCAAATGTGTGAAAGTCTGCAGCAAATGTTGGGAAAATGTTGACAGCAGAATCAATTTCAATTAGCGAATGTTTAAAGTGGAGCAGCGGGTATTTGCGGCATAAGATTAAACAACTTCTCCGAAAAATTTAAATGAAAACACATTTGTTGCTTGATTACAATGGAGACTTCAAAATTGTAGATAATTAGCATTCCCTACATCTATTTATCCTATTAGCTAATCAGTCAGTCAATCAATCAATCGATATTTTACCCACCGGCGCCTTAGAAAGACTTCCGAGCCGAGTTCAGCTTATATTATATAGCTGCAATAGGAACGATCAGTTGACATTTTTTTTTTAATAATATATATTGGGTTGAAGTTTGTAGCGAATTTTATTATAAAATTATTGGATAACATTTTTATATGTTTCTGTAAAGTCTTTTGCCAATTTAGAGCTGAATAAAGATCTAAAATATTTGTTTCTTAAGTCCTCTTTTAAACTCGGCTTTAATATGCCCTTTCTTTTGGAATCTTTTAATAGTAGGAACTTTGAATAACATCATGTTTAGATTTTAAATGTCCACTTGCAACTTCTACCAGAAGCAACATGTTGCATGCAGCAAGCGCACAGGTTGCACAGGACTTCCCAACAGCCCGCTGCAAAGGGAGCTGCCCTTTTTAAATATAATTTTTTTTTTTCGACAACGACTTTAAAAAGTGTTGCAAGGCGGCGGCTACGTGTGCTATTAAGACAGCAAACGCAGGCCAGCAGCAGCAGCAGCAGCAACATGGACAACAGCAACATGGGCAGCAGCAGCAACAACAGCAACAACATAAACAACAACAACAGGAACAACAACAACAACAACAACATTCAATGTTTTTAGCCGGCACGGCGGCGTCTTAAGTGGCGTAAATTACAGATCGGCGCTTTTAACTTTGAAGCTGATTCGTACATGAAATGAAAACACGAAAATAATGAGTGAATGTTGTTGTTGTTGCTGCTGTTGTTGTTGCTGTTGTTGTTGCTGGCGTTGTTTAGTGTCGGCAATTGGCAGTTACTTTCAACGTAATTATGTTATTGCTCTTTGGCGTTGCCTCCGTGTTGCAGCAGCAGCAACAAGTTACCCATCTCCCCCTCTCGCTCGCACTCTGCCAACCTGCTCTTTCTCTCTTCTTGTTTTTTTAGAGATCCCATGGATTCGTTCTTTTTCGATCAGCACATGCGCGCCGCACCGCTGCGCTTCTTTCCGGACCCGCTGATGGCGCAACTGACGCCGCAGGAGGCGGACGCCGCCTCGTTGGCGCTGCTGGAGAAGGCGCGCCAGCATTTGCAGATGTTTGGCCGTTCGCCGTATACGGAAATGTTGCTGCCGCATTTGTATCAGCGCGCCGCGCCGCCCGCACCGCCGCCGCCGCCCACAACGCTGGGCGCCTTTCAGCTGGGCATGTGGCAGCAACAGTGGCCGCAGCTGACCGCCGGCTTTTTGGCCAGCGCCAATCAGCAGGCGGCTTTTGCGGCCGCGGCAGCCGCGGCAGCTGGGGCAAGTCGCACGCCGCCGCCGCCGCAGCAGCAGCAGCAGCAGTCGTTGTTGCATGCACCGCCAGCGCCAGGCACGCCCACATCATCATGCGGCTCAGCGTCGCCGGATTTGCGGATCAAGACGCAGCTGGGCCACTATCCGCAGCGCTTCAGTCCGTATCAAGTGCCGCAGCAGCAGCCGCAGGCCGCCTCCTCGCCGGCGCCCTCGATGCGCGCGGAGAGTCCCTAAGTGCCGCCGCGCGGCCCTCGTCGAGGGGGACAATAAAATAAATAATCAAATAAACTACACGAAATGTATGTGCAATGATCGAAAAATGTTTGTAAATAACCCCCGCATCCCTGCCCACACACACACACTTCACACTCAAAGCTGTGTAGCTAAACATGTTGCAGCAACATGTGGCAGACACTCAACTTAGCAGCTCGTTTATGCAACGCAGCTGAGACGTGTCTAGAAATTTATTGGAATTTAATTTATAATTATTAAATCTTGCAAATATTTAGAAGAAAAACTATTACATTTTTTAAAGAAATCTTCTTGAGCAATTGAATGAAAAAGTGAAAGAAAATAAATAGATAATATTGAGATAATCAAAATTCTAATTTCAAGTATTATGTGAAATTTGTATGAAGTTGTGTAATACAAACATTTAAATGTCAAGCATTCCACTGCCAAAAAACATTTCAATCGTTGAAAATTTGTTTTATACTGATAAAAATTGTGCAATATTTAAATGAAAATTTTAAAATAGTATTTGTTATATAAAAACAATAAAATAAATAAAGAATCAAACTGCAAGAATTAAATTAATAAATAAAAAAATAATTCGGCACGAGTTAAAATAACAAAAATAAAATACTTCAATCAGTTTTAAAATTATAAAAAATAATATAAGCAATAATAAAGAATTAAAAAAGAAATAAACAAATTTATTAAAAGTAAATAATAATATTAAATAACCAATTTATCAACGACAATTGAACACAACAAAAAAGGACTTTTTTTTTAATTCACTTTCAGCTACAATCAAAAAAAAAAATTTAGAATATTGCAAAAAATTAAAAAAAAATTTAATAACAGAAAATATTTATGTTTAGATGAAATTGACCAATAAAACATTATTTTCTACTTTTTAAAAAAAGAAAAATTGATTTTAGAACCAGACGCCTTTGCAAAGGCGAATTTATTTAATCTATATTTAATTTAATAATTTAAATCTCAAGCTTTCTGGTCAGTTGTGTTTTTCATGTGAGTGTATCACAATTAATATAAAAATATATCCATATGCAGCTGGTCGAATTATGCATAGCTATCCAATGAAAAAAATCCAAACAATATGCAGAATATTGTGAAAAAATATTTGTTAAAAAACTTAAGATAAATAATGCAATCTAATTTTTTATTGGCAAACAACCAAATTTTAAACAGGAATTAAATTACTATTTTTTTTTAAGTTAACAAAATGAAAAGTAATTATTCAACAACAAGATAAATTATAGCTCTTAAATAATTCCAAAAAATATTGTCAAAATAAACCAAATTTTTTGTTTTTAATTGATTCAAATATTACCTATGAAAATGTTAAAAATTCCAATAAATTTCTAAACACATTGCAGCTGCTGCTCGTAAACCTGATATAAATATAGTATTTATATAAATGTATATGTACTTAAAGTAGTTTGTAGTTTTAGCCGTGTAACAGTATTAGTTAATTTAATTAGGCTTAGAACTAGTGCAAAAATGTCGCTTGTGTTTCAAAACTTAACTCAAATTTTTTGTTGTTGTCTAAATGTTCCTAACTTCAAACAAATATATTGTAAAAATTGCAAAGCTAATGTACACTTTTGGACACGCCCCCTCCCTCCCCAACAACCCCAAATGAAAACTGAAAATCAAAAAAAAAAAAGCGAAACAAAAAGCAAAACTATTTAAATTATGTGCAAAAATAATAATAAACAATTTATAACACAAAGAAGAAGCAGAAAAAAAGTGCTGTTCGTGGCGAGTTCAACATCTATCTCTAAACAATTAATAAATGATCATCATGATGATGATGTTGATGTTGATGATGATGATGATGTGCAGTCGGCAACAAAATGCAGCCGCACGTGATGCGCAGTCGCGCGTGGCAGAGCAATGCTTGCAGCAGAGGCAGCGGGGACAGCGGGGCAGCGGGGGCAGCGGGGGCAGCAGGGTTGCCACTGACATTTATGCCGCGCCAAATGGAATATAATTTATAGAATTTTGTGCTCTTTATGAAAGTCTAATTAATTACAAGTCCGTGTTTTATACTCCTATCATATCATTTCCACTTTTCAAGTCATTTGTAGCCGCGCGGGGCGTGGAGGAGGGGGTGCAGTCAATATAGTTAAAGGGTTGCCAGCGTTCGTTGTGCAGCGCATGCAATCAACGATGGAGATGCCAGAGACAGAGAGAGAGTGAGAGACAGAGAGTGAGAGAGAGAGACAGTCATGCTATGCAGCAGCGGCGGGCAGCGGAAGGGGTAAGTATTCGCTGTTGCAGTTGCAGTTGCAGTTGCACGCGACATGCGTCATCAATTTCTAATGATGTATGTCTTCAGCACGGACATTTGTTATTAATTGTTAATTGTTGTAGCTTTTGTGCAGACATTAGTTATTAATATTTTTTAATGCACTTTTTAATTAGCATTACTAGCACAGATAAAGCACTAACAAACGCAGAGAAAGGCTACCACGTTTTGAGGGGTACTATTTACACATTGAATATAAATCTTTTAAAAAGCAGCCAACTCATAGTGGATACCAAGTGAGTCTCTGCCAAGCTAAGGTACTCAGCCTAAGTACTAGGGCACCTTGGTACATCTGCAACCGGGCATTAGCAAGGAATCTTGAGGCGACCTTTTGCGACATCAGTTGACCCGACTCGCTGCTCAGCTATGCTGGCAAGACTTTGCAGAAGAAAGCGACAGAGACTGCGCAGCTTCCACCACCCAGGGATCTCTCAAATTGAGTATTTGTTATATATATATATAGATATATGTTAACAACGAACAACGTTCAAGGCTATTTTATTAAAGTTAAGTATATTAATTCCCTTATTCAAATCTGCTAAATTAAGTCGGAGGAAGTACCTGGTATATTTCTGACAGAACTCTTACATTTTTAAGTGCAGAAATAATCTAGACTTCAAATCTTAAGCAAAAAGTCATCAAACTTAAAAAACGGTTCAGCTTTGACTAAGTTGTAAGAGTTTAAAATGATGAAAAGGGTTATTACTAGAGATTTTGGATCGGGTGGCATAATTTTTTTGACAAAGAATTTAACATTAGATTTAACATTTGAAATTAACATTTGGCTTAAAACTTGATTTAACATTTGAGCTTGCACTTAAATTAAATTTGAAATCAAAAACCTTTCGATTTAACATATATCTACAAATAACCTTGATGATCAAAATGTATGTCAAATAAAATGTCGATATTACATATTCGACCAGATCCCGACAAAGACAAATAGAAATAACTTGCACCGACCTATGAAAGAAAATTATAGTACTTAAATATTTGTACATTGTGTGGATTTCCCAAGTATTTCTTGTATTTGCAAATGTTCCAATTTGTAACAATTAGACATTTACGAGTTGTTGTTGGTTGCGGCTCACTTACAGCATATTTAAAACTCGTGCTGTCAATCATGTATAATTACAAGTCTCACACACACACATACACACACAAAAGGCCCTAGCATATGGTATATGGCCCGTATATGATAATAACTTAATTTTTATGCCCATAGGCCACGAAACAGAGGCGCGCAGAGAGAGAGAGAGAGGGAGAGAGAGAGAGAGAGAGAGGGGCGCGGTTAACTTCAGACTTTTCGACGGCATATTTAAATATGGCTTATATAACAGCGAGTGTTTAGGGCTTACCTGACCTAACCGATAACTAACTAATAATTATATGCTCGCAGCTTGCAATTATAAAATCATTTTTGAGCAACTAAACAACTTTCCAAATATCTTAATTAACCCTCGCCAGTTTGAGCAGCCCCTGCGAGAAAAAATCGAAAAAGCCGACTTTTGCTATTGGGAAAATTGTGAGAAAGTGTCACATTTCTATCAAATATTCATGAGTAGTGTGTAAATTGGGCTCTTAACATTTTAATTATTGCCTGAAAGCATTTTAATTGCTTAGAATTCCGATTGTTCCGACTGTCAGAGCAATCAATATGTATTTATTGGCATGTTTGGTTTCCAACTAATTGCATTATTAATGCTCTACCATGGAAGTTTGTTGGGGTAACAGAGCTTAGCTTGTTGTTGTTTAGAATGATTGATGGGGTAGATACCCTATTAATATTTTAGGGAATATGTGCTTTAGAACTCTATGCAACTTGAGTTTTTTGAGGCACCAAATATATGTTTTCTCGCGTTTTTGCAATTTGTCAGAAGGCTATAAGAAAGTGTGTGGAGCCAATGGGAGACATTCTAAATATGTTTTATTTGTGTTTTATGTAGGAGAATCCACATACCAAATATACTGACTGCAGCTCTTATAGTTTCCGAGTTCGACTGGGTTAAGTAGAATTATTTTTACCAACTTAACAGATGCATTAAAAAAATATATCAAACCTATTTTCCAGGTTGGAAATAACTTCGATCTGTATTTTATATAGAAGCATCCACGTACCAAATTCACTAACTAGAGTACTTATGGTTGCAGCGTTCTCCTGGGTTAAAGATAACTCTTCTTAGCACCTAAATACCCCGCGACACATTAGAGAACCGCCGACGTTTAAGCACCTTTAAGCATGGCCAGACATATTCAAAGAAAATCTGATGGAATACACGTAGACCTCACACCCCAAATTGTAGATAAATGTAGATTAGCTGCAATTTTCTCACTCACTGCGACAAAGTCGTACACAAATTATCTCGCCACTAAAAATTTGCCTAATTTCCAACATAAATATGAAGGAGAACTTATCAGAGGCGACCGATCTATGTATACCCCAAGCATATCTATGTAGCTGTCCGGGCAAAACGTCGGCAACCTTTTCTCTACACTCCCTCGTGTTGTTGTTGTTGTTGTTGACTAATTTTGGTGTGCCCTAAGCCTAAGCCTGGACACGGGGCGAGCAGTAGCTGGCGCGAGCTGGTATAAAAAATAACAAAACACCCTCAAAAAACATGGAAATTGGTAGCCAAACCTGCCCAGGCGCTAACAAATTTATGTCTTCTTCAGGCTTAGACAACGCAAAAGGTGCCACTAAATTAGCTGAGCAAGAAAAAAGAATTTGTTTTTTTTTTTTTTGTAGTGGCAAATGTAAAGGCAAAGGTGAAGGCAAAGGTAAACGCCGCTCAGCTCATTACACACAATTTGCAGTTAGGTGCGAGCATATAAATTTCCTCTAGTCGGGTCGCCAGCTCGGGGAATATCCTTATCAAAATTATGCACACTTTTATCTAAATTATTATTTTGTATTTCT